CAATGTATTTAACATTTGTATGGTTATGCAGATCCTCTCATAAATGTTTCACATTAAGATTTGACAACCTCCCCTCATCATCATCACAAGAAGCTAACTCATCCTCTTGATCATCCCTTAACATTGTACTACTTGATGATGAGTCTGATAATGGTTTTTTTTTCCTAGTTCCTACTAAACTCTTTTCTTTCGGGCTTGCTTGAGGAGAAGGTGGACAGTTACTGAGGGATGTTCTCTTCACCATGAAATCCTATTTATTGCATGCGAATATGTTATGGGCATGGTGGGCATCTTGTAAACAGACAGATATGTCCTAGGCCACTATCTGCAAGTTGGGATCATCTTGCTCCAAAAACAATTTGGATCGATTAGAAAATTCACAGTGCTCCTAGAGATCCAACATAGCTGGGTTTGAGATTTATGGTGGAACAAGAGTTTGACCTCTTTTTTTTCCCCCTCTATGCAATTTACAAGATGCATCTGCTTATGTTTATTGGTTCTATATTCTCTTCCCGTTTGCAGGAAAGTAGTTCCATATACTTAAATTGGCTAAAATATCATAAATATAAGATTTATAAATTGTCTTTTAATTGGCATGTGCTGTAACCAGATTATGCAACAAGATGATTGTCTACTAAAATCGTGGAATGCCAAAAAAGTGGTCTATGAATTATACTTTACTCAATATATTCACTTACAACGTGTGCAACAACTAGTTACAACAAAAACATTAAAACAAATAAAGAAAATTAATAAATATCGATTATACAAATAAAAAGATAAAATCTTTTCAATGGGACAGTCAAACAAAGCAATAGCAGCAAGGTATCAAAAATTGAGACTATCATTGATCAATTGACCCAAACAATCCTAATATAACTAAATTAACTCGGAACAGTTTTGAGGATTAATACACCCCATCACCAAATTTATTCAATTGAACACATAAACAAGAAGACATCAAACACTCCCATAATACCCATATGCCCAAATTCAACAATCCAATTCTCAAAAAAGATTAGACCCATATGCGAAAGCCTGACCTTTTCAACGGGAAGAGTGAAGCAAGCGGTAATAATGGCCGCAAGAAGAAGGATAAGAATAGTAATTCTAAAAAAAGAAACCCAATTGAAAGCCATTGATGATAATCTTCGATGCCAACAAGGCCTACACTCTTCGTCCTCGCTTTGATCGTCTTCTGCTATGCCCTGCTTCAACGACAGCCGAGGCCTCAATCCCTCTATGTTTGCCAGGTTATATATCAGAATTTATCTCGCCATCGGCCCATAGATATCAATGAACTCCACCTCTTGCCTGATTGACTCTGTGTGTGTGTGAGAGAGAGAGAGAGAAATCTTTAATACATCGGTTTTATTTTCTATCTCTTGGCTTCTAAAGTAAGTAACAATTTGGCTTTCCCGTGTGCAGGACGTAATGGACAACCACTACGGACCAATGTCTCTAAAACCGACATTCAGCGGCTACTGTGGAAAATATTACTTAGATTTTATTTATTAATTTAATGTATTATAATTGTTAAATTAGTAGAGTAATATTATTATAAATATAATTTATTAATTTAATTTATCAAAATTATTAGATTGATAGAGAATTTCAATGAATACTGAGATCCACTGTTAATCTAATAATTATTTTTTATTATGTCAATAAATCATATTTAAATAACATTGTTCGATAACAGATTCTTGCCGATAATAAAACTCATGTAATATTTGCTCATTCAGAAGACCGTCGTTTGGCTGTGTGAAGAAGGGAAAAGCCTTGTAGAAGATAAAAAAGTAAAAAGTTTCAATATTTTTATTTTTATTTAGAGAGAGAGAGAGTAATTTTCATTATTTGATAGGTTGGGAAAATTAGGAAGAATTTCATAATTCTCATCTTGTTTTAATTTTTCTTACTTACCTTCCAAACCAGACATAAGGTATCTCTTTGAAAATTTTTGTATGTTGGACTAATTAAACCAATTTTCCCTTGATATTTTTATTTATGCATTCTATTCTCTATGATTTCATATATTATAGATTTTTATAATTAACCAATGGTCGAGTGTTTTTTTATATTACACGATGTTTAAATTTGTGCCGATTACTACCTCGAACTCAACGACTCTATAACTATAAGCAACTAATAGAGCTAACAAAAATATTAAAATGGTTATTCAATTTTTTTGATCAAAATCAAATCACATTCAACCCAATCTAAGCCCGTTCAAAATCCCCAAGGTATATATCTTTGTCTTCCCTCTTGTCTCCACCCCACAAACCAGATTCCATATAGCCAACAGCGCTTCATTGCAGCGGCGACAGCCATGTGTGTTCGGCATTGTTGTGGCGGTGACAGTGGTGTTTATTTGTCTGGTGGTGGCAGTTGTGCTAAGGATGGCCAAATCTAGATGGGGAATATGTGTGTGATTTGTGTGCATGTGGGTTTTGGTTCTAGTTGATGATGGTGGTCGTTGGGAGGCTGGGTTCGGGAGTGCTTATGGTGTTGGGTTGAGGGTTTTGGTTCTAGTAGATATTTTATGACAAAAAGTAAATGAAATCAAGAAATTTTTTATAACAAAATAATTAAAAATAAGACATTTTTTTAAACTAAAAAATATTTGCCATTATTCTATTCTACAAAATTTAAATCCATGCAACCACTCAAAAACATGTACATACCTCATGTAAATAGTACTCGTATTTATAACGTAATAAGATTCTAAGTTTCTTTTTTTAATAAAAACAAGGAATATCGAATCACTTCTTTCAAAACTAACCCTTTTTAGTCAAAATAGTCGAAGTACGAGGATTTAAATCGAAGAAGTTAACGTTGGNTCTAAGCCCGTTCAAAATCCCCAAGGTATATATCTTTGTCTTCCCTCTTGTCTCCACCCCACAAACCAGATTCCATATAGCCAACAGCGCTTCATTGCAGCGGCGACAGCCATGTGTGTTCGGCATTGTTGTGGCGGTGACAGTGGTGTTTATTTGTCTGGTGGTGGCAGTTGTGCTAAGGATGGCCAAATCTAGATGGGGAATATGTGTGTGATTTGTGTGCATGTGGGTTTTGGTTCTAGTTGATGATGGTGGTCGTTGGGAGGCTGGGTTCGGGAGTGCTTATGGTGTTGGGTTGAGGGTTTTGGTTCTAGTAGATATTTTATGACAAAAAGTAAATGAAATCAAGAAATTTTTTATAACAAAATAATTAAAAATAAGACATTTTTTTAAACTAAAAAATATTTGCCATTATTCTATTCTACAAAATTTAAATCCATGCAACCACTCAAAAACATGTACATACCTTATGTAAATAGTACTCGTATTTACAACGTAATAAGGTTCTAAGTTTCTTTTTTCAATAAAAACAAGGAATATCGAATCACTTCTTTCAAAACTAGCCATTTTTAGTCAAAATAGTCGAAGTACGAGGATTTAAATCGAAGAAGTTAACGTTGTTGACACTAAAAACTGTTGTTAAAGGCTGTAGTCCTTTTAAGCAAATCCCATATGATTAAAACAAACAAGGATTCAATTCTCATGTACCACACAAGCTACTTACCACCACATCAAAAACTCTCTTTGAAGGTCACTTAAAATTGTTCATGTGATAAGCTGGCCAAACTTGATCATTTCCTCCTTTGATCTAACAAAAAAGAAGTATAACTCATTATTTCACTCCTCTCCCTCAAATAACTCCATAACTTGATGAATTAACTCTTCAATTAGGTCTCTTACCATCCTCCATTAGGGATGATAGTAGACCGGAGAAAAACAAATATTCGTACAAACTCATTTCGTTTGGACTAGAGATGTATTATACGTATTGGACGGTGAACGTATATGGAGATATTCATATAAATCCGTACGGGGTATGAAGGTGGGAATGAACTTACCTTTACCTCTGCCCCGTCCCCTCCCTGGCCCTCCCCGCCCCCGCTACCCATTAAATATCTATCTATGTATATATATATATATATATATATATATATACACTCAAAAGACCTAACTAAACATATTTACTGTAACTACTAATCTAGAAATATGATAATCAAACTAATAAGTGACATTGTTATGTGGTAATCTTGTCAACTTTTTTCCCTAATTGTTCTTTTTTCTATGTGTGCTCACTGATTAAAACTATTAGGAGTTTGAATTGACCATGCTCTAAAAACATATAAGAGAGAGTAAGATAGTTTTACATTTCATTGTTGGTAGAATCATTGAATTAGTAAAATTTTAATTTTTCATCTTTTAATACTTTATGGTTGTAATATGAATTGTAATAATAAAAAATCTTCTAGGAAACTTCAAGTGTAGTGCTATTGTTTTCTTAGTTCAATTTTAATTTTATTTTCTTTCTTTATCTCTAATGGTTCCATTTCTCTTTTTTGTGGTCTAGTGAGACTTTAAATAGAATATTATATTGTTTTTACTTTTATATTTTACAATCTANATAATAAAAAATCTTCTAGGAAACTTCAAGTGTAGTGCTATTGTTTTCTTAGTTCAATTTTAATTTTATTTTCTTTCTTTATCTCTAATGGTTCCATTATATTGTGTTAGATTATTTAGAATACTGTTAAATTATTTAAAATATTATATCTATTTAGAATTTTGAATTATGCTACTTGGACTTGGGTTTAGACGGGTATGGGAAAAGTGGAGACGGGGACGAGGACGAAAATTAGAAATTTACTCGCGGACGAAAATGGGGATAAAAACTATACCCGTTAAAGGGAGTGGACCGGGGATGGACGAAGTTTTTTTAAGCGGATACGGGGATAAAGACTACACTCCCTGCCCCCGTTTCGGTCCACTGACATCCCTATCCTCCATCCAGAAAGGGAAGCAGCCGGTCCATCTTCTAGGGGCGGCAGCATAACCTTTCAAATGTTGGGGCCAAATAGGAGAAATAGAGTAATCCTACTTTAGCCATGTATGAATTGAGATCCAAAAAATAGTAGCTCAAGTGATAACAATGACGAGGTACAAATCCAGACGTCTTGAGTTCGAATCTTCAAAAAATAGTATGAATCAAACCCAAACAGAGTACAAAATACTTACCTTCACAAAATGCGACTGCAATCCAATGAAAAAAAATTATAAATGCAAACAAAATCAATAAGTCAAGTATATAAAGTATCTTCGTTCACTCAACCTCTAATGTACAGACATATAGAACACATTAAGAATCAAAATGCAAAAAAGCCTGCCCGTATAGATGGAAACAAATAAGATACACCCAATGGATTGTATGACCCATATTGATGCTATGTGCCAGATGAAGAAGAATGGCGCCAACTAAAAATCAAGGGGAATAAAGAGTAAATGATGTGGACTAAATAACGGTTTAAGAAGGCATGGAAGGGTACAGGGAGGCACCATATTAGCTCCATGGATCATCCCACCCTTTGGGTCCACCTCTTTTGATAAAGTCCATAATGGCCTGAACAGCTTCATTAACTCTGTTAGATAAAGAATGGTTTCCCCATTCAATTTCAACTTTATCTGCACTACCCATTGCTCTGCACAATCTGCATGAGTTCCAACCAGATACACATTATCATTGGTCAAATCACATTAATGCAACTGAAAGACGCATGCTATCATTAGAAGCGCTGTAAACTAGACTAATCATCAGCAATAACCATGATAAATTTTGAAAAAGTAATTTAAAAGAGTTCTTGCACTTGCCTCTCAACCAATGCCTTCTTGTCAACATAATCTGGCACATATTCATCAGCCATAGAAAAGATAACCTGCAAAATCACATGTTGGAATTGTCATTATTCATCAGGGCAAACAAAGAAGAGATGGCGTCCAGATACTGAATAAACCAAACAAGACAGCATGCTTGTGGCAAAGAGAGTAACATAAAGTTGATCTTGTCAGCATTCATAGCTCACTTTCTGGCTTTAAGGTACAGTCGACTAATCATGTATCCTTTCTTGCCTTTTCACTTGATGCAATCACTTGTTGCAAATGCAAAGCTATTTAGTTTAAAGCGAACACAAGAGACTGGGAACCGTTTAAATATACAGCTGGGCAACATTAATTAGTTTAATTGTAATATTAATTGCATTTACAAAGAAAGCATCTATGTTTGACAAATGAAGCAACTAGTTCTCTTACCTGGCAAGGTGTGTTGGACATGTGTCCAAGTCTCAATCTCAGCTGGTCATCGCTAAGGTCAGAACTGAACATGTCATCATCTCCCATATATGCACAAAGGGAGTGATACCTGCAAAGATTCTAGGCTTTTCAGCATGGGACCAATGACAAAGTGATGATATCCAACACTCATAATAAGTATAACGAAATTAAGAACATGAAAAAATAATAAGAAGGAAGACACATCTCTTTTTTTGCTAAATAGAAAAACACAAATCTGTCCCAATTTAGAAGATGCTTTCCAGAAAAATTTAAATGCGATTCTATGCAGATTAGACAGTCTTTTAACGATTTATCATACTTCATTGGGTATCTAATTGCAAACCAGAAACTTAATATTATAGAAAAATGAATTAATCTGATTGTGTTACTTGTACGAATGTTAGAAGCACGTGTAAAAGCGGGAACCGTGTATTGGCTGTTATACGTGTAGCTGTCAATTCAAAACAAAGTGCAAGGCTTTGGACACGCTTACTTTAATTATATAATACACAAGAAGTAGAACCATGCTAGTCATTAACAACATATGCCTTCAACATATTACACTTGCGTTGTTCTATTGAACAAACTAGAAAGTTTCCTACATTTCAATTTCCTTTGAACAAATCAATGTAGCAGGCATGTAAGTTTGACTTTTGGAATCTTTTATAGGCGTAACACAGCTAAATATTTCAACATTTTAAGATACTCATTATAAAGCAATGAAAAAAATGAAGTTGAATTGTATGGGTAACGTTGAATTGTAGAACCATTCTCGATTAAGGGGAAGAAATTGAGGGGTGCAGAAGCATTTTGGTAGAAGTTTCAAATGATACATGACTAGTTTGTAAACTAGAGTACACTCAAACTTCAAAGAATTACTCACATTCGCAATGCAACAGAACAGTGAAGATCAAGGAGACACAAAACATCCAGTACATTTTTAAACTATGGCTTCTTTCCACTTGGTTTCCACATTCCAACATGAAAGATTGTGAAACCTAACGAGGCAAATTAAGCGTTTGAAAATGTAAAACTGTAAACCATCAACAAGCAAAGCTCAGGGAAAGAAATTGGTGGTTATATGACTGTCACCTGTAAGCAGTTATAGGAGAATCTGGATTAGCTTCCCTGGGCATTAATTCTGACCCTCGACCTTCACTTATCATTTTTGAAGCCAAATCTATCATGGAAGCAGTTTCAGGGAGAGTTGCTCTGTATTCACGGTCACTGACAGGAGCCTGAGCAATCCAACCAATATTATGGTCAAAACTACAAATTACTGCATAATATGAAGTTATTATCTATACTACTAATAAAAGTACCTTAATATGAAAAACTTTTGATTCTCTATTTTACCCTTATAAAAAATTACAAAGACCACTCTACCCATTCACAATTAAATATCTAAATTATCTATTATTTCTTTATGTATTTAAATCTCCAAATTACATCTAAGTTGTATAAATGTCAATTTCTATAAAACTTTTTGAATAACTATATTATCTTTAAAAAATATGCATCATTATATTTTCAATAAAATGTTAACAAACTTCAAAAACTTGATTAATCTAATATTACTCATCTCATATGCAAAGATAACATTATCTGCACATATGTTTATTTTCTTTTTCAATAAAAAATTTAATCCTTTCATTTCTAAGATAAAAAACAATTGTATATATATTTTTTTACAATTAATTTATGCTATATCAATATAATTTTTCAATTACAATAAACTTTTTAAGTTGTATTAAGATTTTATGTGAAAATAATTTGTAGTGTATTCTTAAGTAAAAGTTAATTTTTTAAAAATTTTGATATGTTTTAAAATATATATTATAGAGTAGTATATTAAATCTTATATTAATTGACCTAATTAACTCTTAATTAGTAAAGTTCCAATATGAATAGTATATTGCGAATTACTTTTATTTTATTCAAATTCAAAGAATTATAAGTGGAATCCTATTCGAATGAATTTTAAAAATTTTAATTTCTCAAACATCACTAAAAAAAGCACTCTCAATCACAAAATTCTAAAAAAATAGAACTTTAAATATTTTTCTATCATTTTTCTTATATATAAAATTTTCATAATCCTATAATAAAATATGAGTAATGAAGAATTAAGTATGGTAAATTTGAGATAATATTTAATTCAAATACACATATACTAAAATGTCATATTAATTTTTATGTACAAAAATTATTTATGTGCAACGCACGTAGTGCATTGCTAGTAAAGAAATAAATGGTTTTATCACTGACAAAGTGACAGCATGATGAATGAAAATGTCAGCTATTATTTCCGGCTGAAGTACATCTACGATTAACATGGCTTGATTTTTGTGACCAGAGAAAAGTGCTACAAACAATTCACAAGAGAGGAGACAAAGTTGTAATTACAAAGGTGGGGTACACGACATCTCCAACATGCCATATGAAAGAAAGTGGGGATTGATTATTGAAAGGAGATATAACAGCTAATATAAATAAAAGATATCTTTAAAAAAATGCGCAGATAACATAATGGTAAACCATAAATTGCATGATGAGTTCCCTCAAAATTCCATGCCCCCTCCCTGCTTTCTAGCATATACGCTTATTTATTGCAGTACTACGAGTTGCTACTGTTAATCATTGCATCAGGCAAATACTAGCAACTGAACTGAAAAATCAATAGCTCATGCAGCTGTCAAACATTGGCAATGCTAAAAGAAAGGAATTTAGCAAGTGCAGAAGTAAGGGCCAGATTCAATTGTCAAGTACAGGTGAAGAGATAGTTTCACCATTTCAGGAATCCAGGTAACCTGACTCTTGAGCCAGAGGGGCCTCCAGAGAAGTTAAAAAGAGTGACTCATTGCAGAGAGTGACATAAACATTAAGACGCAACCCCTTACCATTCACTCGGTGTAAAAATAAACGCATAAACTACATAAAATCAACATAAAAAGAACCATCAGTGGAATCCTATATTTGGCTGGGAGGATACCTGCAATATGGCTGCACGGACTGCTCTGGAGCATGCAGCATTGGTACGCATGTAATACACAATATCCTGGATATCAGAGGACATATGAGCCAACTAACTTATTTTCAAGTAAAATATGGGCATTAGGAAGCATATGCATTCAACATTAGATGATAGTCAGTTAAAAGGCAGTAAAGTACTCACTTGACAGCCAGTACTATGCCCAAGCAATACGACACCCTCAGAATCTTCCTTGTTTATTAGGTAACTGATCAATTGATCAAGCTCCATGCCATCCTTCAATTTATGTGAAAGAAGAGCAATTATAGCACACAAAACAGAGCAAGAAAACACTAGTGGCAGTCAATATTAAACTGAATATATAGATGCACAACCATGTAACATCCATTGAGTTTTGAATAGTATAACCATACCTTAATGACATATTATGATGCTTTTGCAGTGAGGGAACAAGAAAAGAAGTACAACACCTAGATTTGGATCACCAGACATCAACATAGCTAGAAAAGGAAAAAGAGTAGTTACTTGTTTGAGACTTGAGATGCCATATCCACTATAAGAAGAGGAAAGCAGAAGCTGAACTAGCGACCATTTCTCTTTATCCAAGGCAATTGCTAGATGTTCCAAGTATCTGCAATAATACAGGTAGCCTATTTTAGAAACTAAAAAAATGAGTTTCTAGTTCTTCACAAGGTACTAATGTTTATCAGCATACCACCGATTGAAAACCTAGCTTTAATAAGAGTAATATAATCATGTGCATTGCATGTAAAATTGTATAATGACTCCGATGAATACTCCCTTTTGTCCCATTAACATGGCAAAAACTCCCTTTAATTTTTAAAATTTTCTTTATGAAACTTATCACCAATTTCGAAATCAAGGTACATTGCAAATGTCGCATGAAGAAGTATTTTGACTGGGGAAACTACCCCATGGACATCAAACCTATGTTTCAATAAGTTTGAGTTCTTCACAAAAAAAATGAGTTTCGAGTTCTTCTCAAGGTACTAATGTCTATCAGCGTACCACCGATTGAAAACCTAGCTTTAGTAAGAGTAGCGCATTGCATGTAAAATTGTATAATGACTCCAATGAATACTCCCTTTGTCCCATTAACATGGCAAGCTCCCTTTAATTTTGAAAATTTTCTTTATGAAACTTGTCACCAATTTCAAAATCAAGGTACATTACAAATTTCGCATGAAGAAGTATTTTGACTTGGGAAACTACCCCATGGACATCAATCCTATGCTTCGATAAGTTTGAGACTAACAACACAAAAGAATAGACTAGATCACAGCCTAAAGCAGAGCTAAAAATATGGGGCAAAAAATTCTGAAGTAAAGCTTCCGAAAAAATTTGGATGTTATTTGGAACTAAGTCACAAGCTCAGCCAGAGGATGAACTCTTGGCCATAATCCACTGCCCAAGCTAAACAGAATGCATGACAGTGGTCCCATAAAAGCCACCACATAGAAGGTCATGCAGATACTTCACACAGCATAAAGGGTAGTTGTATGCTCTTTATAACTATGTGCCTTGTTTCTAGCCCAGAATTCAAATCTTTGACTTTCTATAGGACTAACTTTATTAGAAATCTGGTTGAATAAATGGATGAGTTGCACAATTCCTTGCACAAGATAACAATCTGAACATACTCTGTAGCCAAAAATCCATCTGTCAGTCCACCAATGAAAATGACTTGTTGCTTATAATCACCTGTTTTGAATGCAACCTGCACCAAGAATAAAGATATGAAATCACTCACAGAGAAAGTAAGTTACTTACTAGGAAAACATGCCTGCATACATGTGAGGAATAGACATGGTAGTCACCCAGTCAATGATTAAATTGCGAGTGCAAAATCTCTTTTTCCCACAAATATCTTCTACAGAATCTTTGAAAGATCAAGGGAGTAATGTGCTAGATATGACCCATTGTTATATTGCAAAACCAACTGAAAAGATTAATATGAATATCCCGAATAGAACTACCAAAGGTGCCCACATATAAGGTAACACATACAGTGTGAGAAAATAAAAAAGGAAGGTAGAAGCCGCGCCCCTTTTTTTTTGGGGGGGGGGGGGGGGGGCGTGTATAAGGTTCATATTTTTCCAATTGTATCCTTGCCATCATATAGTCAACAATGACAGGTAGACCACAACATTAATGAGCTTCGAGTTCAAGAAGAGTTTTTTGGGAAATTTTGATTCTTGGTTGAGTATTGGCTGTTCCTTCATAATTGGACTACATACCTTGAAAAGGACATTTAAAACATACTTGAAAGGCAAGCATATTGGTTTTTTTTTTCCCTTTTTCTGAGTGCAGCTGGAGGTGAGGCCACTCATGGCAAAACACTTTTTAATCAATACTAAAGGCAATTCATATCCAATCATCAACAAACTTCAGACTAATTACCCTCTGATGTTGAATATATCATTTGTGGGAGCACAAGATGATCCCATTTTAGCACTACAAGCACATAACGTGACAAGATTTGCAGATACAATTTCCAGAATCCAATTCTTCTCAAGCCCCAAACAGAGCCAAGAATCAACTTAATTTCAAATCAACTTAATTTCAAATCTTTTTCATTTGTTTTTTGCTTTGAACTAAATTTCAAATCAGAAATAAAAAAGCATTCCAAATTTAGCTAGCAAAGAATAAATGGGTTGTCCCATTTTCAGTTTCTACTTATCAACAAACTCTCTAATCTCTATCCTCTCATGTTGAAAGCACAATACTGACAGAATTCAAGATACCATCTCTTGTTACCAGCACAGCGTGCTCACATTCTTGTGCAGCAAGCACAAGACTTCATTTCCAGAGTTTATCTTTGAAATAACCCAATTAACAGTAAAACTCATACCCCATAAATCACAAGAAATTTTGAAAATTTTTTTCCTCAAAGAAAGAAACTTTTTCCAGGCCAACTCAATCCAAATCAAAATCACA